ATGGACACAAATGTAAGATTCTATTTATCACATAACATTCATAATTTGAAAAAAAAATCAAACACAGTAATAATGTGTTATCAGCTGTTTCTACATAGGTAAAAACTGAAATACTCCAATCCTAGTTTTGTCTCCGAGTAGTGCAAAGTTGTACAATGTGCCAGATTGTTTTTATTTAATAATGAACAATTTAAATGCAAAGAAAAACAACAGTAAATGTACCACGTGGTATATTAGATAAAAAATAGTACCTGTCATGGCGTTGGAATGAGTTTCGTCAGTTTTGACCAATCACAGGACATTTAGGTTTTATTACACATGTGGTGTACCATATTTATGACATGGCCGTATGTATAAGTCAGTAATGGGATAAAGTGTATATTCCACCATACAAATAATATTGATAAATCGAATCGAGTCTAGTGACCATGTCTGTTTTACCCGCTAACTTTATATTTCTGTGAACATTTGTGCTCTGTGTGTAAAATGTCCATTTTAATCTGAAATGGAGCTCTCCTATATTTCCTGCGGGGGGTGTAAAATGTCAGATTTATCCTGCAACAGAACTCTGTGAGCTGTCGGGTCCTGTGTGTAAACACTCAGTAACTGTTTGTTATAATAAGGAAAACATAACACATATTGTATTATGGTTGAAACTACAAGTTCTTTTAAATATAATTCTTTTTTTTTTTCAATATTTTTTTTAGTACTTGACCATATCAATAAATTATGGATTTTTTTGCATTTCTGTATTTGAAACATTCAAATGGAACTTAATATAGTTTCATGGTTACAGAAACTGTTGCCAATCAGGTCTTGGGACAGAGGAGGGATTTCTCTAAGTAAATATTGGCCAGCTAGCTAATGATTCAGCTATTTAAGTTTAAACATAATCAACATAAATAAAAAATATTCTTAACAAGTTCAAATGTCCAGAGATTTTAAAAGGGCCGGTTTCCAAAACGGCCCCTTCTCTGATTCAAATTTCCTGTTGGTGGTGCATTGCCCATGCCGTTGTGGTCACAAATCTATAAAGTATAAAGATTTAGGTCACTTGGTTTGTTTTTTATGGCTCCTCAAAGTTGTACCTTTCAGAAGCTGTCTAAGTGTTGATAAAATGTGCATGTTATGTAAAATATTAATGAAAATCTAATCAAATGATGGTCACCGTAAAGAATACATTCATGGCATGATTGTGACAAAAAATCATGTTTCCATCGCGCCATTTGGCTGTTTTATGGAAGAAACAATCTCAAAAATGCCATTTTCGATGATAACATTTTAGACACAAAAACTGTGTTTTTTAGAGAATACACCCTTTTATGGGCGTTGGATGCAAACCAATTTTTATCCTATTAAACAGTACGTAATATGCTATTGATGAGAGGAAAAATCATCAAAATGTAAGTGGTGGAACATTTTCAAATGTTGGGTTGAATTAGCCTATGGTTGAATTGCCGATTTTCGACTTTCTTTAGATAATTAACAAAAAAACGAGAGTATTTGCTCGGTATGTTGAGAATATGTACACAGATATGAAAAAAAGTGAGAGAAACACTTTTTCATAAAAAAAATCCAAGATGGCTACTTCACAAGTCCCCGTGGTTGAAGACATTGGCTGACAAATAGACAGAACAACAAACAAAACGTGTTCCTTATGATTTTGGTTGGTTTTCGCATTTACGGGAGTGTTCATAGCTACGGGCGATTGTATAATACCTATATTTATAAGTTTGGTTAGTCACATGGTAACGGGGATCTTTCATATCGAGCCCCAAACATACTTTCGACATATGCACTCCGTTGCCGCATGGAAAACTATTTCAAGTTTTGTCGGAATTTCTTTACCTGTGGTTGTAATGGTCGAGGGTTTTCCAGCGTCCTGTAATACCCAAGGTAGTACAAGATACTGGAGATGTGCGCACACATTCCCATCGTTCTCTCTCCAACTGGGCACTGGCAGTAGTAGTCCTTTATTGGGGCCTCAACATCGGGTGAAACGGTGAACCGTATCCAAACGTTATATTTCGTTTGGCTTTTGTGTCGAGAATGTATTTGACATCGGAGAAGGTCTGGGGAGTGCTGGTAAAGCCACACCTCATAGTCTCCGTCATCACTTAAATGTTCGGCGATGTAACCAGGAGCCAGAGATATCTGATACGTTCCACACGTAATGGTTCTCAAGTAATCAAGATCGAGACGGGGAAACAGTACGGAAGATGCATCCATCTTGACAAACTCGGACCTTGCCCGTCTAGATAGATCCGGATCTGTCTTGACTCTCTGAGCTAAACCATTCGGTGTTGTCAAACGGTCCTTCATACGTTCAGCCATTAGCCTATCTTTGGCATCTCTCTCTGGAGATCTCTGGTAGATCGGTCCTCTAATACCATTCAGACAGGCTGTGACGGTTCGAAGCAAAGCCTCGATGACATTGATAAAGCTGTTAGACACCAATTGCGTTCGGAAGAACGTCCAGTGTTTCAGACGACCATGATAGGATTCCACAATCCACCTCGATTTGGTGATAGTTCTGTCAAGATTTGCTTGGACGTCAGAATGTTGACTTTGACCGGGTTTCAGGTATGACGGCATGCTAGCATTGAGGCCAGAGGCTTCGAGAACTGGTAGGACATCTCTAAAACCTCGGTCAACGACAACGTTGTCGTCTGGTTGTAGCCAAGTAACTAGCTTGTCCATGACTTTTTTTGTAATTGTAGCATCATTTTCGCTGCCAGTGAATGGTCCTACTGTGTCCAGAATGTAGCCATCTGGTAAGGCGATGCTCATGAATTTGAGATAGTTTCTCTTCTTCTGGCCACAGTAGGACATTCTCTGGAGCTTGTGGTCGGAGCTTTTCTGGATATAAATATAGGTGCCATCTAATATGGCAGTGGCTTTATCTCCAAAAAATGCTTCTGAAAAGACAGTATTGTGCCCGAGCAACTGTTCTCTTGTCAAGTGATCCGGACCTAGAAATTGTGGGACTATCGATGTGTCTAATGCCTGTACTATGGAGTGGAAAGTTTTGGACACACTTGACTTGGAAATTCCAAAAAGAGAAGAACACTGACTCCAGGAAATGTCGGTTTTCAGTTTTACCCAGAACAGTAATAGAGCATCGTGTGTAGTCTTGGTATATATACCAGATGAAAGATATGGGGAACAGTGCGAGTGGATTTCGAGGAACTGATCTTTGGACCAACCTGTCCAGGCCATGCATGCCGAGTCATCAAGAGAAGAAAAGCTTATTGTAAACGCAGACTGGTTCTGTGAAAGGACGTGCGACACCTCTAGGAGGTCATTAATGATTTCGGACGATTTTGATGGTAACTGAGATTCCAAGGAACCTCTACCATCAAGGACAACCTCTGTAGACGGATCTAAGTCGTTACCAATAAGGTGAATGGAGCAGACGCGGGATGAGGTGGGACACCACAGTTTGTGTGAATAGATCAGGTGATGTCTTGCACGTTTTGGTAAGACTGATGATTTTGTTCCATTTCTTGCAAAGGTAACAAGACAGAGACAGCATTTTTTGTGTGAAGATGATCCATTCAAAAGATCATGAAGGGTCAGCAACGGCAGGATATGGGACGGGGAGTCGTCTTCTTCCTCTATTTCCTGGTTCTGCTCGGGTTCAGGTTCAGGCTGATTTTTGTTCCGAAGATACTTCATGTAGCACTTCTGGCAAATAAGTGCTTGTTCCTTTGCTGACATCAATCCTTGTTGCACCAGCGTATCTAGGAGCCATTTATATTGTGGACTATTTACATTGCGTGCACTTCTGTTCTTATTGCCACTACGTTTCTTGAAGTATACTTGACACCCTTCTCCAACACATTTACCCTCCATCTTGAAACAATAACGATTGGTTTATGAAGCGTCGATAAAGTAACAAAATAGCAAGCCACCGATGATTGCTGTAAACAGCTAATACTTAGTAGTTTGGTACAATTATGCGAAAATGTGTGATAAATAACGAACAACTAATTACACAAAATAACAAGACAATATAATAAATCACATTCAATACCTCCAAGAAGCGCAGAATTGATTGATTACTTAGAACAAAATAAAGTATTTCATATGGATAATCTATCTATTCGATGTGGCGTGGTCGGCAGGCACAAAGAAAGTGAGACAAGTCAGGGTCCCAACCCTGACAGAGCCACAACGCTTTGGAGATGGGACAATAAAACAAGGAAAGTGAGACAAGAATAGCTAGCGTCGAGTCAATGATTCCGTAAACGTATAGACAAAGACAAGAAGATACGGATAAATGTACAAGGCCACACGATCAGAAAATTCAGAAGAGGACAACTTGAGATAGAACAGTATTCATGTATCAGGGTGTCCTCAGTGTAAATCTTTATATCGATACTGTTTATTTAGTCGTTACACATCATAAAACTGTCATGAAAATATCCGCTCTGATATTCAATATAAAAGTTTGTATATAATAAGCTATATAATAGGGTTTCAGACAAGGTTGTTACTCATTTCCCCTTTTCTTTCAATTTACAACCACATTCAGGCGGCGATATGAGAACGTTCCACCACATGGAATTAGCTGATTTTTGGTACACATATGAAACAAGTAAAGCTCTATCCGATTTTCTGATGGAAATTTGCATCCAAAACTATATAACGGGAGAAAATTGCAATTTTATGGCATTTTTCTTCATAATTGTGTCTCTGCAAGTGCATTTTCATCCGAGAATTTTTTTTTTTTTTTTTTATGAATAAACACGATGTTTTGGAAATATTTATCAAAAGAAATTTATACTATGTTGCGAATTACAATTTCGAGATAACCTTCTTTTATTTACGAACTTATGTCTTTGATGCTGAAATTGACAACTTTATAAAAATACATTTTCACTGAAATTATGAAATCTGGGTGTCGGAAAGGTGTAAAATTATTCTTCGGAAAAGAAAAAAACAGTAGTTGAGCTAGATAAGAAATTATACGGGGGCAGGCTCCTATGGAGAATTACTGGACACAGGCCCTTTATATCGCACTATGATTTTATTTGTATAACATAATCAAAAACAGATTCGGCAGACTTAACAAATAGTTATAGGTACACAACATATTCTAAACACAGGTAATGCATAAAGGCCTGATATGAACAATGGCATTAATTTCAAGACCAATATGTAAATATACCTATTCAAGATAGCTTGAAACAATTTGGCCAAAGCTTTTACAGAACATCGCACAGTAAACTACAGATGTACATGTACAAAAGTATGTTAAATGTTTATGACCTGAAGCAAACCCAGTTTACTTCTGTGGCTTATGAAACAATCATTATGTAGCTAAGCTGCACAGTGACCTGCACATTAAAATCCATAAAATTCAATAACAAGTACGATTCAACAATGTGTAAAAACAGTGGCGCCCAGCGAACTACAATGTGGTTTACAAAATCACATCCAACAACCCAATAAATAACATCAAAAACGCAAGTGATAATACTGGTGTCTTTCTGAAGTACCACCATCAAGTGTACATGTCTTCTGGCCACACCCCTAGGTAATCCTAATCCACTGTCTTCAGGTCACACTCCCATTAGTCCCAATGTCCTCTGGTCACCCACCAATGTAGTCCCAACGTCCTCTGGTCACACCCCCATTAGTCCCAATTAATGTCCTCTGGTCACCCACCAATGTAGTCCCAATGTCCTTTGGTCACATCAATGTAGTCCCAATGTCCTCTGGGCACCCACCCATGTAGTCCCAATCAATGTCCTTTGGTCACCCACCCAGGTAGTCCCAATGTCCTCTGATCACCCACCCATGTAGTCCCAATGTCCTCTGGTCACCCACCCATTAGTCCCAATTAATGTCCTCTGGTCACCTTCCAATGTAGCCCCAATGTCCTCTGGTCACCCACCCATTAGTCCCAATCAATATCCTCTGGTCACCCACCAATGTAGTCCCAATGTCCTCTGGTCACCCACCCATTAGTCCCAATTAATGTCCTCTGGTCACCCACCAATGTAGTCCCAATGTCCTTTGGTCACACCAATATAGTCCCAATGTCCTCTGGTCACCCACCTATGTAGTCCCAATGTCCTCTGGTCACACCCCCATTAGTCCCAATTAATGTCCTCTGGTCACCCACCAATGTAGTCCCAATGTCCTCTGGCCACCCACCAATGTAGTCCCAATGTCCTCTGGTCACCCACCCATGTAGTCCCAATGTCCTCTGGCCACCCACCAATGTAGTCCCAATGTCCTCTGGTCACCCACCCATTAGTCCCAATGTCCTCTGGTCACCCACCAATGTAGTCCCAATGTCCTTTGGTCACATCAATGTAGTCCCAATGTCCCTGGTCACCCACCTATGTAGTCCCAATGTCCTCTGGTCACACCCCCATTAGTCCCAATTAATGTCCTCTGGTCACCCACCAATGTAGTCCCAATGTCCTCTGGCCACCCACCAATGTAGTCCCAATGTCCTCTGGTCACCCACCCATGTAGTCCCAATGTCCTCTGGCCACCCACCAATGTAGTCCCAATGTCCTCTGGTCACCCACCCATTAGTCCCAATGTCCTCTGGTCACCCACCAATGTAGTCCCAATGTCCTTTGGTCACATCAATGTAGTCCCAATGTCCCTGGTCACCCACCTATGTAGTCCCAATGTCCTCTGGTCACACCCCCATTAGTCCCAATTAATGTCCTCTGGTCACCCACCAATGTAGTCCCAATGTCCTCTGGCCACCCACCAATGTAGTCCCAATGTCCTCTGGTCACCCACCCATGTAGTCCCAATGTCCTCTGGCCACCCACCAATGTAGTCCCAATGTCCTCTGGTCACCCACCCATTAGTCCCAATGTCCTCTGGTCACCCACCAATGTAGTCCCAATGTCCTTTGGTCACATCAATGTAGTCCCAATGTCCTCTGGTCACCCACCCATGTGGTCCAAATTAATGTCCTCTGGTCACCCACCCAGGTAGTCCCAATGTCCTCTGATCACCCACCCATGTAGTCCCAATGTCCTCTGGTCACCCACCCATGTATTCCCAATCAATGTCCTCTGATCACCCACCAATGTAGTCCCAATGTCCTTTGGTCACACCAATGTAGTCCCAATGTCCTCTGGGCACACCCACATGTAGCACCAATGTCCTCTGGTCACACACCTATGTAGTTCAAATGGCCTTAATTTATCACAAGGTAATCCAAATGACCAGAGGACATTCGCAAGAACGTTTTTTTATCCAGCAAACATTGCTAAGTTAACAAAAAGGGATAGTCTGCATAGCTGCTGATCAGTTCTCCAAGTAGTCCAGCTACAGGCAAAAAAGGTCCTGTAGAATACATCACTGACGGTCCTTAGCCTCAGTATCTTGAGGTCATTTCCACCACATACAAATACATTTTTCACAGAGAGATGTCTGGGGAGAGAGGCATATATCTGCCGAAAATGTGGTTTATTGTCTGGTGATAAGGATCAGAGGATAGTCGAGCCCGACCGTTTTGTGCTAGGACTGGCTGCTGATATCGCCAACAGCTCGTCTACAGTATGCTTCAGTCAAGTGATGAAGCAGACATGTTCAATACATAGCGGAGAAGATCTGGTGCTGACATCTGTAACAAAATAAATCACTGTTACTACTGTCGAACATCTTATCTGGACACATCCAATCATATCACCACCAAACCTCTGTAACCCGCACGTATTTGATGATTAAATAAACATATGTTATCCAGACATATGATTACATCACAACCAAACATCTATAATCCAGACATATGATTACATCACAACCAAACCTCTATAATTCAGACATATGATTACATCACAACCAAACCTCTATAATCCAGACAAATCAAGGGAAATTCCAAAAATTGAACAAATCAAATAGAGTCAAGCTTACATATTCCAGAGACAACTAATGTCTATTGAAGTCGAACACATCATGTAACATCACAATCAAACCTCTATAAGCTGGATCTCGAGTTCAATTACAAATAAACCACAAATATCCAACCTTATTGGGTCCTTTATGAAAACACAAAAGAGTGTATTGTTTAAATATATTGGCCGTAGAAGTGTTTATTCAAGAAAAGTTTTACTGTGATGCATCTGTCGTCCATTTGTCCGTTCATAGTCTTCCTTTTCTTTCTAGCAACTTCTCAAGAAGTGAAAGGCTTGGATTCATGATATTTGGCTGGTAGTTTCATGGTATAGCGCCCGACAAAGCTTGTCAAAAAATGACGTTGACCTTCTGTATGGTCATAGGTGTTAAATATGTCAAAATCTTCAAACAATTTCTTCTGAAGAGCCATTAGGCAAATAGTCATAATATTTGGCTAGTAGCTTCCTGGAATAGATACCAATAATGTTTGTGCAAACGAATGCTCTACATCGACTTTAAAGGTCACAGGTCAAATGTGTCGAAAACTGCAAAGATTTCCTCTGAAGAATCAAAGGGATCAAACATAGTTAATAACTTTAAACGGCTTCTGGAACTGAATTGCCTAAAGTCTGACTGGTAGCTTCCGGGGATGGTAGCTTCCGGGGATAGAGCCCGATAACATTGTCAAACAAACTATCTTAGACAACCTTCAAGGTCACGGGGGTCAAACATGTCAAAAAGTTCAAACGACTTCTGAAGAACCAATTGTCTAGAGTCATGATATTTTGCTAGTAGCTTCCTTGTTTCGATATACAACTTTCCTGATCGTAATAAATGAGTTGATACATATCTGCGCTAGACATAGCCCTTAATAGGTTTATATACTTACGGTCGATCACGCTGGGAAAGACATCGTGTGGTCAGTATGGATTGAGGTACCGCCGTGGTGAAGCTGGTCACTACATCTCTGACACAAAGCCATCATATCCTTATCATCTAAAAAAAACAAAACACTAGTATATCTGCTAACAAGGCTAGGGCCTCCACATATAATCATAAGAGGTCAAGATCCGAATTCAAAGTCGGCACAACAAAGTACCACATCGTCAACACACTAGAACAAGATCCGAATTCAAGGTCAGCACAAATAGACGACAAAAGAACTGAAGAGATACTATCTAGAATGATAGAAAAGAACAACAAATCAACAAAACAAAACAAAAACAACTTAACACTTTCACTGGGAAAGGTTGAAGTCGCCATAGATCTAAGACGTAGAGTAAAAAGCTTGTATCCTGGTAACCTGATGACGTAACATTTTCTCAGAGAAAACAGGAGCCTCTCCGATTGAAGTCCATGGTTCAACATCTCCAAAATCGGCTTTGGCTAAGCCAAAGTTATTCTAAAATAATGGAATTCGTAAAAAAAATTACAAGGAAGCTATTGGGTAAGCATATGAATCATAATATTAAGATTTCAGTGTTTTTTGTCAACTTTTTCGTGGTGTTTTGAGCCACCTTTACTAGACTACTGTAGTATACATTTGTTTTCGTGAGAGTTATTTTGGCTTAAATTCTCGATAACTCTTTCATGAATTCCATAGTTACTTACTATCAACATTATAAATCCTCTCAATCGACAAGACGATATACCGGCCCCAAAAGACTCAAAACAGCCCCAAAACACTAATAATGTATTCATAATACACACGAAACATTACACAGTACAACTCTTGGTTTAAACAACAGACGAGACAATACGTTAATAACTTGAAGATGTACCGTCAGTTTGTCCACAAAGGGGGCATAATAAGATGGCGGGAACTGTTCTACAAAAATTACACATCTTGTCTGCATATGTTGCTATGGAAACCGCTTTGGCACAGCGCGGATGTAGTCTACGATGGCAGGCCTTGCACAAAACCAGAACTGTAGTGAAATCACAAACACAATAACATTATAAGACAAGCTTTTGTGCGCTAGCTTTCAGTATGTTTATTCCTAAGTCTGCTGTCTTTAATTGCTTGATAAGCTTTGTCTTAAACAAATTACCAGATAACATATTTTCCGCTGATTCTTAAAAAATAAAGCACACACAAATACACATTCACAAATCCCAACAATGCCATGAAAAAAATAACCAACATCCTATCTGACATATCCAACATGTGTGCAAAGCTAGGTTACAAGTCGTCGAGGTCACAGGCCCCTGCCAGATTTGTTGTGCGCTACATGAGATATGAGTCAGAAAAGAGTTTTGCTTGGAACATAAAATTCATAAAAAGTGTAAAGTTTGAATATCAACATAATTCAGGTTTCTTAAATTACGATGATGGAGTTGCGCACTTGAGCTTTCAGACATTCGTGTTTCAGGTCGAGTTTGGCAGCTCAACCCATTATCTTTGAAACTGTCAAGGAATCTAATTTGCAATGGAAAGAACTACAACAAAACGGCTCAAACGAAGACACCCAACTTTCTGCATTTTCAGTGAAAATCTTCCTTGAAATCTCGTTTCAAATGAATTAAAGTGGACTCAATGAAAATCATAAAAAATAATCACTAACAACTGAATGTGAAAATGCACGAAATAGCGAAGAAAAACACGTGTGACCTTTCTTTTGTCACGAGACTTATTTCATACAAAAAATCGACGATCTGTTAAGTACTTTGAGTAGCTCATCACAACCCAAGCAACAGTGAACATCTCCACATGTTCAAGACGTCACTCAAATAGTCTCAATATACTTGGCATTCTCATGAAATCAAGCCCTGCTAACTGTTATTAAGAAAAGTAATCTGTGTTGACCGACAAAACGGTTTTTGGCGAACACGCACTGTTTATACGTTAAAAGCTTACCTGCTCCGCAGCTTATGATAGAAACGTTGGGAAAATAGTTTAAACATCTGCCACAAATCAGAGACATATGACCGGAATTTGATGACATCCTGTGTGCGAGATTTTGTTGCTGTTGCTGAAAGGTCGTGTGCGCGTCATTGGTGACGTCATTACGTCAGATCAGTGCGTGATATTTCGCGTATCTTAGCCTTGATCGCCTACTGTTATAAATTGCGTATTTGAAACACTTTTTACATCACTTTTCTGAGTTAAAGCTAGTCGAAACTTTAACCATACCCATTTGTATATGTTTGTGTAGAGATGTTGGACTTAAGCAGAATAAAACGTCACTACACGTATACGGATACATACCAAACAAACCAGTCATCCATCCAATACACATTTTCGAATACCCACGGATAATTTTCCTAGGAATGCACTTTGATTTTCATTATAGGTGAATTGAGAAAGAAATACAAATCTGAAGATGATACTCATATGAACAGAATGCATTTTGGTACAGAAATAGTATAGTAGTAACGCTCTCCAGAGAACCTGGATATTGACGAGGTCAGTGGATCTGACAGCACACCAAATGAAGTCTCGCAAAAAGCACCCGACTAAATTTTATCTTTGAATATTCGTATGATACAGGGTAAGTAGGCAGAATATGCAAACTAAACAGACATATTTTTTTGTTGATATATAAATTTTGTTTAGTTTATAACTATTATGAAACAAGCAATTTAAACTTAATCACTCTTGTTGGCCCGGATGTCAGCGCGCGCGGGGATTTTAATGTGGGAGAAAACCGGAGCATCCGGGAAAACCCCACGTGGTCGGGCAGTTGACACCCATACCTTTTCACGTCCGATTGGGGAATCGAACAAAAATGTCATTGTCAACTATATGGACACATTCCGAACATGGTATCAACATATTTCGACCACATTTTGTCCTAGAGTCGTGGACCGGCAGCATACCAGTAGCAACCCAAAACCCCAAAGCTTTCACAACGTGTGACGCAAAACACTGAAGGTTCTCTATCGAGGACTCCCTTCCGGTTTCGTTTGATTCAACCTCAGCTCTCAACTCGGTCTCTCGGTAGGACTGATTTCCGTGGACCAAGAAGTAATACGTGCAGGGTTAAGCAAAGGTAGCGATTAGCATCTGCGAAAAATAAGCGTGAATTAAATATATGTGAATCAATGGGAAATCATTAAATATCCTCTATCTATCTCATCACAGAATTTCATTATTTATTTGAGTGGTTTAAAATCCTCGCAACAACTAGGTTCATATAAAGACGGGTGCGTAAGGAAACGCCGCCGAAAGGAAAGAGTTGGAAAGAGAAACTCGAAAAGATAGAGAACCGGAGTGTTACAGTGGTGCAGACCACAAATGGTATTTAATTTCTCCGAGAAGAGGAAGAAGAAGAACATTTCGATATTTAATATTAATAATTGGAGTCCGTATAGCAATGCGGGTCCATATATCAATGGGAATCCATATAGCAATGGGAGTCTATATATCAATGGGAATCCATATATCAATGGGAGGTCATATATCAATGCGGGTCCATATATCAATGGGAATCCATATATCAATGGGAGTCCATATATCAATGGGAATCCATATATCAATGGGAGGTCATATATCAATGGTGGGTCATATATCAATGGGAGTCTATATATCAATGGGAGGTCATATATCAATGGGGGTTCATATATCAATGGGAATCCATATATCAATGGGAGTCTATATATCAATGGGAATCCATAAGTCGATATATCAATGGGATTCCATATATCAATCGGAGGTCTTATATCAATGGGAGGTCATATATCAATGGGAGTCTATATATCAATGGGGGTTCATATATCAATGGGAATCCATATATCAATGGGAGTCTATATATCAATGGGATTCCATATATCAATCGGAGGTCATATATCAATGGGAGGTCATATATCAATGGGAGTCCATATTTCAATGGGAGGCCATATATCAATGGGAGTCTATATATCAATGGGATTCCATATATCAATGGGAGGTCATATATCAATGGGAGGTCATATATCAATGGGAGTCTATATATCAATGGGAGTCCATATATCAATGGGAGTCTATAGATCAATGGGAGGCCATATATCATTGGGAATCCATATATCAATGGGAGTCTATATATCAATGGGATTCCATATATCAATGGGAGGTCATATATCAATGGTGGGTCATATATCAATGGGAGTCTATATATCAATGGGGGTTCATATATCAATGGAGGTTCATATATCAATGGGAATCCATATATCAATGGGAGTCTATATATTAATGGGAGGCCATATATCAATGGGGGGCCATATATCAATGGGAGGTCATATATCAATGGGAGGCCATATATCAATGGGAGGCCATATATCAATAGGAGGACATATATCAATGGGAGGTCATATATCAATGGGAGGTCATATATCAATGGGAGTCTATATATCAATGGGAGTCTATATATCAATGGGAATCCATATATCAATGGGAGGCTATATATCAATGGGAGGCCATATATCAATGGGAGGCCATATATCAATAGGAGGACATATATCAATGGGAGGTCATATATCAATGGGAGTCTATAAATCAATGGGAGTCCATATATCAATGGGAATCCATATATCAATGGGAGTCTATATATTAATGGGAGGCCATATATCAATGGGGGTCCATATATCAATGGGAGGTCATATATCAATGGGAGGCCATATATCAATGGCGTGGCATATTCAATGGGGGTCCATATATCAATGGGGGTCCATATATCAATGGGGGTCCATATATCAAAGGGAGGCCAATTATCAATGGGAGGCCATATATCAATAGCGTTCCATATATCAATGGGAGTCTATATATCAGAGGGAGGCCATATATCAATGGCGTGCCATATTCAATGGGAGTCCATATATCAATGGGATTCCATATATCAATGGGAGGTCATATATCAATGGGAATCTATATATCAATGAGAGTTTATATATCAAGGGGAGCCCATATATCAATGGGAGTCTATATATCAATGGGAGTCCATATATCAATGGGAATCCATATATCAATGGGAGTCCATATATCAATGGGAATCTATATATCAATGGGAGTCCATATATCAATGGGAATCCATATATCAATGGGAGTCCATATATCAATGGGAATCCATATATCAATGGGAGTCCATATATCAATGGGAATCTATATATCAATGGGAGTCCATATATCAATGGGAATCCATATATCAATGGGAGTCCATATATCAATGGGAATCTATATATCAATGGGAGTCCATATATCAATGGGAATCCATATATCAATGGGAGTCCATATATCAATGGGAGGCCATATATCAATGGGAGTCTATATATCAATGGGAATCCATATATCAATGGGAGGCCATATATCAATGGGAGTCTATATATCAATGGGAGTCCATATATCAATGGGATTCCATATATCAATGGGAGGTCATATATCAATGGGAATCTATATATCAATGGGATTCCATATATCAATGGGAATCCATATATCAATGGGAGTCCATATATCAATGGGATTCCATATATCAATGGGAGGTCATATATCAATGGGAATCTATATATCAAGGGGAATCCATATATCAATGGGAATCCATATATCAATGGGATTCCATATATCAATGGGAATCCATATATCAATGGGAGTTTATATATCAAGGGGAGCCCATATATCAATTGGAGTTTATATATCAAGGGGAGCCCATATATCAATGGGAATCCATATATCACTGGGAGTCTATATATCAATGTGAGTCTTGATATCTATGGGGGTCCATATATCAATAGGATTCCATATATCAATGGAGGTCCATATATTAATGGGCGTCTATATATAAATGGGAGTCCATATATAAATGGGGGGGCATATATCAATGATGGGAGGCCATATATCAATGGCGTGCCATATATCAATGGGAATCCATATAGCAATGGGAGTCTATATATGGCCTCCCATTGACATATGGACCCCCATTGATATATGACCTCCCGTTGATATATTACCTCCCATTGATATATTACCTCCTATTGATTTATGGCATCCCGTTGATATATGGACCCTCATTTATATATAGACCCCCATTGATAAATGGACTCCTATTGATATATGGCCTCCGATTGATATATGGAATCCCATTTATATATGGACGCCCATTAATCTATGGACCTCCATTGATATATGGCCTCCGATTGATATATGGCCTCCAATTGATATATGGTCTCCCATTGATATATTGATCCCCATTGATATTATGACTCAAATTGATATATGGACCCCCATTGATATAAAGACTCACATTGATATATGAACCCCCATCGATATATGACCTCCCATGATATATAGATTCCCATTGATATATGGACCCACATTGATATATGGTCTCCCATTGATATATGATCTCCTATTGATTTATGGCATCCCGTTGATATATGGACTCCCATTGATTTATGGCCTCCCATTAATATTTGGACCCCCATTGATATTAAGACTCACATTGATATATAGACACTCATTGATATATGGACCCTAATTGATATATGGACCCTCGTTGATATATGGACCCCCACTGATATATATGCTCCCATTTATATATGGACTCCCATTAATATAGCAACCACAATTGATATATTCCCTCCCATTGATATATGACGTCCCATTGATATATAACCTCCCATTGATATATGACCTCCTATTGATTTATGGCATCCCGTTGATATATGGACTCCCATCCATTGATATATAGACTCCAATTGATATACGGACCCCATTGATATATGGCCTCCGATTGATATATGACCTCCCGTTGATATATGACCTCCCGTTGATATATGACCTCCCGTTGATATATGGACTCCCATGATATATGGACCCCCACGGATATATATACTCCCATTTATATATGGACGCCCATTAATATATGGACCCCCATTAATATATGGTCTCCCATTGATATATGGCATCCCATTGATATATGGCCGCCCATTGATATATGGACCCGCATTGATATATATGGATTCCCATTAATATATGGACCTCCATTGATATATGACCTCCGATTGATATATGGAATCCTATTGATATATGGACTCCCATGATATATGGACCCCCACGGATATATATACTCCCATTGATATATGGAGCCCCATTGATATATGGAATCCCAGTGATATATAGATTCCCATTGATATATGAACCCCCATGGATATATGGAATCCCATTGATATATGACCGCCCATTGATATATATACTCCCATTGATATATGATCTCCTATTGATTTATGGCATCCCGTTGATATATGGACTCCCATCCATTGATATATAGACTCCAATTGATATACGGCCCCCATTGATATATGGCTTCCCATTGATATATGAACCCCCATCGATATATGACCTCCCATGATATATAGATTCCCATTGATATATAGCCTCCCATTGATATATGGATTACCATTGATATATGGAGTCCCAGTAATATATAGACTCCCATTGATATAATATAGACTCCCATTGATGGCCTCCCATTGATATATGATCTCCTATTGATTTATGGCCTCCCATTAATATTTGGACCCCCATTGATATTAAGACTCACATTGATATATAGACTCCCAGTGATATATGGATTCCCATTGATATATGGCCCGCCATTGATATATGGCCTACCATTGATAGATGGACTCCCATTAATATAGCAACCACAATTGATATATTCCCTCCCATTGATATATGAGGCACCATTGATATATGACCTCCCATGATATATAGATTCCCATTGATATATGAACCCTCATTGATATATGCACCCCATTGATATATAGACCGCCATTGATAAATGGACTCCTATTGATATATGGCCTCCCATCATTGATATATGCCCCCCCATTTATATATGGACTCCCATTTATATATAGACTCCCATTGATAAATGGACTCCTATTGATATATGGCCTCCGATTGATATATGGCCTCCGATTGATATATGACCTCCTATTGATTTCTGGCCTCCCGTTGATATATGGATTCCCCTTGATATATCAATGGGAATCCATATAGCAATGGGAGTCTATATATTAATGGGAGTCCATCTATCAATGGTAGGCCATATATCAATGGCGTGCCATATAGCAATGGGAGTCCATATAGCAACGGGAGGCCATAAATCTATGGGAGGTCATATATCGATGGGGGTTCATATATCAATGGGGTCCATATACCAATGAGGGTCCATATATCGATGTGAGTCTTGATATCAATGGGTGTCCATATATCAATGAGAGTCCATATATCAATGGAAGGCCATATATCAATGGGGGGGAATATATCAATGGGGTTCGTATATCAATGGGGGACCATATATCAATGGGGGGACATATATCAATGGGAGTCTTGATATCAATGGGTGTCCATATATCAATGAGAGTCCATATATCAATGAGAGGCCATATATTAATGGCGTTCCATATATCAATGGGGCCATATATCAATGGCGTGCCATATAGCAATGGGAGTCTATATATAAATGGGAGTATATATATCAATGGGAGCCTATATATCAATGGGAGTCCATATATCAATGGGGGGGCATATATCAATGGGGTTCGTATATCAATGGGAGACCATATATCAATGGGAGGCCATATATCAATGGTGGTCCATATATCAATGGGGTCCGTATATCAATGGGAGTCTATATATCAATGGGAGGCCATATATCAATGGGAGGCCATATATCAATGGGAGTCTATATATCAATGGGAGTCCATATATCAATGAAAGTCCATGTATCATATAGTCGTCTGTAATCCTTGGTTCGACACCTAGAGGAGACACTTGCACAGAGCATTTGACCAGTCGCTTATTTTCTCGGTTTAGACTACTGCCGGAAATACTTGTAGAACATTGAAATAAGTTATCTGATAGTCCCGTCCCGGGTTCGACTTCTAGCGCAGACTCTTACGCTGAACTAAGTTATCTGATAGTCCCGTCCCGGGTTCGACTTCTAGCGGAGACTCTTACACTGAACTAAGTTATCTGATAGTACCGTCCCGGGTTCGACTTCTAGCGGAGACTCTTACGCTGAACTAAGTTATCTGATAGTCCCGTCCCGGGTTAGACTCTAAGAGGAGACACTTGTATCTAGCACTGGACTAGTCCCCTGTAGTTCCACGGTTTCACAAAACTTACAGGAGACAATACATTATGAATCACGAGCCTTACAAAACAGTATTTAGACCATTGATGTTCGGAGGGGAACTGCCAAATGACATTAATTTCGGAAACTAAGTTCGAACATCAATCTGGTACCCGTCATCAAAAGCTGCTAATAGCCTAACTATCACAGGTACGCGACAAGAAAACTCTCTTTTTCCTGCAGGTTTATTGCTGCTCGATGGCTCTTAAATTACAATTATGTCGTCGATTTCAACTGTCCACTATTTTGCGAACAACAGCTGAATCACGTCAGATCGATGGACGATATGATATAAAGTAGGCGTATAACTGAACGTGGTAACTTCTATGTATGCGTGGTTTACGTAAGAGTGACGTATACGTAACATATAGTGGCCGTACCAAAGATGAATCGAGATGAAGTGGCAGCATTGTTATTCAGTACATCTATAAGCAAGTACCAAACAAAGCCTAGCCGATTCAGAAAAAAACACGCGAAAATGGCCCCATTAAAAAAAACCGTAATGGCCATATTCAGAAAAAAACCGTAAATGGCCCCATTCAAAAAAAAAAGCGTAATGGCCATATTCAGAAAAAAACACCGTAAATGGCTCCATTCAGAAAAAACCGCAAATGACCCTATTCAGAAAAAAAAGCGTAACGCCCCACTCAAAAAAAAAAAGCGTAATGGCCGTATTCAGAAAAAACACGCGAAAATGGCCCCATGAAAAAAACCGTAATGGCCATATTCAGAAAAAACACACCGTAAATGGCCCCATTCAGAAAAAAAGCGTAATGGCCCTATTCAGAAAAAAAACCGTAATGGGCCCATTAAAAAAACCACCCTTCAATGGCCCTATTCAGACAAAAACAACCCGTAATGGCCCTATTCAGAAAAGAAAGCGAAATGGACCCATTCAGAGAAAAAAAAGCGTAAATGGCCCTATTCAGAAAAAAAAGTAAATGGTTCTATTTAGCACGGCTCTGTCTACGGGGGAAAAACGGCCGTTATTAAAGGTGAAATAGCCCCAAAAGGAAATAAGCGCCATTCCGATATATTGCTGATCAGTGGGGTTTTCGCGGTGATCATGATGGGGTTTATTTTCAAGAAAAAAACATAGGCCTTATAGGGTAAATGTTTCTTTCCCAGTTTCAGCCTTCCTAAGCTACGGTGCGGAGGTGGAATCCAAAAGGAAAATTTGTTATTTAAAAGGGTACTTGACGTTTGAGTGGAGGGGTTGTTCACGGAACAGCCTAACGTTGCGTGAATAGTTGCTTTTTACCTTATCTCATGTTAACCAAGGCAGAAAGAGAAGCGCCAAAATAACACGTTCCCTATGCCATAATGCATTTATTGAAGCATTGAACTGCTTTCAGTTGGCATTCAGTGGCAGTATGAATGCCAACTGGACAAAGGCAAAATCAATGAAGCGCGCTAGCGCTTCATGTTGGATTTGCGTTTGTCCAGCTGGAATTCATACTGCCTTATAAATGCCAGCTGAAAACAGTTCAATACTTATATTTACCATTTTTGGAATTAGTTCATCTCAAAAAAGTCAATTACACTTATTATCATTCAGCATTTAGTTCCAACAATGTATGGATCTCGTATGCTTGTTCAATGAATAGAACAGTCATCGCTAGGGAAGGATCACCGTGCTATCCAACGTAACAATTATGATGTCATAATAATGATTACGTCAACAATCGGTCCATGACATTCATAGCCTTTATTAATGCCAAATGAATTAGGCAGGCAATGGCATACGCTGGTAAATATTGAGTTAACACCCCTTCTTCGGTATATTTCGTTCCGAATTAATACAGCCGAACATAGGTAATTCAACAAAGAATATACATAAAATACCTTATTCGTTGTTGTTTATTACAATTTAAAAATCGCAAGATTTCTATCGGTTTCAGCCCTAATCACGACTGCAATATCTTTTTCGTCTGCTACACTGAGCATTTCCGTTTCCGTATACGGGGCCTCCTTGCGGTCACGTGATACATACACACAAACACGGCCATATTGGTTTTGTGCTTTCGTGTTCAGGCTGTTGAACATTGCAAAAAGATCAGGTACCATGTCATGCATGTGCTTATAAGTTCACTCATTCATTAAATCATGTATTTATCTTCATTATTTAGGTGCACACTCTATCATTGTGCAATGCCAGGGCAATTAAAAAGCCCCTGTGCTTCACCGTATGCCAAAATCACGATGCATGCTTCGTGAAGTGATCTCGTGTGTGTCGCAATATTTTGATAAAACTGTTACTAATATTACATGTTCCTATGTTCTAAAGGTCATTGTCAGAATTGGGTTTATTTCCCTTTCTATTGAAACAGGTATACTCGAAATAAGATGGGGGTCGATGTTGAATCCAGATGTCCTTTAACATTACAGGAAATGTCTGAAGACGTCATCCATAACTTGATACTTCAAGAAAGTTAAAATGATAAGTTGTAAATAGTAATTATCACAAAAATATGCATGGCAGGTGCCTTCGTGACTGTCAAGTTTGATCTGTTGGCGTTCAAAGATTCATGTTTATTTAAAATATGATCACATTTATTTTGTTTAATAGGCCTACCATACATTTTACATGACGTGTTATAATTTGAGGTGTGTTTGTCGTATCCATATAGTTTAACAATCTATTTCTGCAACTTTCACTGACAGCCTTAACAAACAAGGGATTACTTGAAGAAACATTATCATGGTTGGGATACTGTTAGGTGACCCAAGTGGGAGGATTGGCTGTGCAGGATGTGTAACGTACATGCTGCTACACATGTGCCTCTTGGCTCACCATGTGCTTCAACATGTCTGGGAATGCTAGAGATTGTACATGTCCTGCCTCCAATAAGTTAGTGTTTCAATTAGTTATATTGCATTTGAAACAGGAGAAGAAAAATGCACTGCCAAACTGGGATTTAAACCTAGGATCTTGGAACTCTTAGACGGATACTCTAACCAATAGAGCGTCACATGCCTGGTCGCCGTTGACTGACCTGTTCCTGTTCTGCTATATTTATCTCTCTTTTCTGAGTCTTTGTCTCAGAGAACATCATATGTTTAACTGGGGTTTGAGTGTCCCCTCTAGCTGGCAATTGTAAACAACTTACTTGAGAAGGATCTGGGACATTTCGCTCTAAATCTTGTTAGCACTACAGGTTTTTCACTCTAAATCCAGTTCAACAAAGCTTGTTTCCCCATAATACAATCATATATTTTAAAGTTATGAATATCAGTTAAAATGTTTTTAATTATTAAAAAAAGTTTATACTTTTTTCATGTTTCATCACAGAATCAGATCCAAGTCTGGTTTCATGAGCAAATGTCTTGTCGAAAGAATTTCATGCTACAGATCTGGTAGACCTTATAGAGACTTATAACAAAAAAAAAGCTAAGAGAGGCATAGAAAAACTTCAAATTAGACTACCAGTATATTAGCCATACACAACTAAACAGTACTAAAAAAATCACCCCAAAAATATTTTTATCGCACAACAACCCGGGGTGAACAGGCTTTATGATGAAACGACCTGACACCGTTGAGACAAGGGTTGGTAACAGGCACCATTAAAACAGGAGGAAAAAAACGCATGGTAAGACAGGGATTCCAAATTGGGACCTCCAGACTCTAGACAGTCTACTCAGTTGAGCATCTTGGCTGCCAGAGACTGACCCCATCCAGTTCTGCTACACTTAAAAGTACTGCTGCAGCATAGTAACTGCAAATTCATCTAAGTAATATTCTTCAATGTGTTTTTGATAAGAGCCAACATCCATTGATTTGTCGCTGCTACTTTTCTCCTTGTGACCCATTAACTATGCTGAGCGAGAAAATGGTCAAGATACAAAGTGCATTATTTGAGGAAATGTATCCAAATAAAGATGCCCAATTGTTAACAGCATCCAAGTTTTTTTTTATGGCATTCAAATTCAAAACCATTGCAAGTTTTGTTAATTTTGGTATATATATACTAGTTAGCAGATTTGGACTGGCATAAATGGTGAAGATGAGGTATGATGATTGGAAATTTGGTAGAGCAGGTCAAGTCTTGATCTTGTCCATTAAGTTTTTCATGTCAGATTAAAGTTACCCTTGCAATGTATTCAGTAATATTTTGTGAATATTTTTTAGATGAGTTCTGAACTTTCTTTTCAAAATGTTGGTGCATGCTAGTCCCATTACTTAGAGATAAAGTTGATTCTTTGAATACAAGTGCTAGTACTAAAAAATATGAAATTGCACAACTCTCTGTGTTCTGTCAGATATGTGCCTTAAGTTAAATAAAAAGTTTCATCTTTTTTTCAGAATCAGAAATAGTAATAAAGAGAAAAAGAGATGGCAGATACATTGAAGTTTGGTCCAGAATGGTAAGTGTGTTGGTAGATGTCCAGAATGGTTAGGTGTCTTATTAGAGGTCTAGAGTGATGAGTGTTCTAGTACAGGTCAATTTTCTTTTATAGGCTGTCCAATTTTTAACACATAGCAAGACTGTATGATAAATGATTAGGCACAGACAAGACCTGCAATAAACTCAAATTAACTGGCACTGTAAAATACATTGCTATTTTTTATTCTTTCCTTTTGATTTTATTCTGATCAATCAACATCATTGCATTAATAATTATTTCTGGGTAAATCTGTTGTGCCTTATTCAATCTTACAGAACAATTTATCACATTATCTGAATTTTGTTTCCACTAATGTTGTTTATGCTTTGTTCTGTGACAGGCTCAGAGCCTTGTCTGATGGAAACAGTTTGGGCACTCCTCCGCCTTCGCCAGGCTTGGGAAAATACAAGTTGGCAGATTATCGTTACGGCCGAGAGGAGATGCTAGCACTATTTAATCCAAACTGTAAAGTACCAGAAGAGTTGGAAGGACAGACCTACATTATGGTTGAAAAATCACAAGAACCCCTTGCATTAATACCACTGTCAGAAGAAGAACAGGTAATTTAAGTAACCCATTGTCTTCCGCATACCTTCTTTAGAATGTGACCTACCTTTTCATAAAAGGGGAATAATTAAGGAATAACCATGATTATTTTTGGGGTTCAGTTTATATTTGGGGGGGGGGGGGAACTGCACTTAAATAAATCCACAGAGTCCTTTACGCAGAACAGGCACACATTTTTTTGGTGTATTTCTGATAAAAAAAAATGCACAAAACTCAACATTTCGCAGTAATTTCATTGCCAAGCAACTTCAACCAATCAGAAATTAGTATTACAAATACCGTGCCAAACATTGCTGAATATGATATTACCTGAAAAAATCTAGCATTGAGGGAAGAGCCAAAACTATATCATAAAGTTTGGCTTAGTTCCTAGATTAAAATAATAGTTAAGGTATATATTCCACTTTGATATTAAACATTTGTGATCTATTTGTGTTACAGAGACTTTTATCACAGACTGTAAACAGTATGGCAGTTTTACGAATGTTTGGACGTGGAGGTCCCCCTGGTGTGAGAGGAAGGGGGGTGGGTCCAGAACGAGGCAGAGGAAGAGGCTTGGGTAAGTATTAGTGTTTCTGTTATAAAATGAAGCATATAAGTGTTGTATTCTGAGAAGGAACAGAAATCTTGGATAATGGACATTTTAGTTTTGACTTGGACTTTAACGATAAAATTTTGCTGGTTAGGCCAAACAAAAATGATAACTTGGTTCTCAGGCCCGCGCTCATTTCATGGCACCATGCGCATTGCCGATTTTATCGTGAAAGTAATAAAAAAAAATCGTGAATGCGCCAGCCGCCATCTTAAAAAACCTGGAAAATTGGTCTGCATGTCGTTTTTACTCGTTAGTCACCCAAGTCCCAAAAACGTTTGAATAAAGGTAAGGATTGAGATACAGGCAAGCGTTAAAATGATTCTGACTTATTAGTCTTGTATACAAATGGCGCTCATTTCGGTACAAATAAGGAATGGGGGGGTTCGTGATTCTCGTCTGGAACATCGTGGGGGGATTTTCGGAGGCTTGCTCTATGACGGGTCTCTACACAACTATTAAAAGACAAGGTGATGTCCACAATGAACGTTTTAAAAAATACACACAAAAAAAATCGCCCTAGTCTCGTTTTGCCATGTAAAATGGGGAAAAAAATTACCGCCCTGCCGCATCTATTTTGAAAAACATTAGCCTGAGAACCAAGTAATTAATTTTATTTGGCCTTATGTGTGTCATTTGATTTTACATGTAATATGATAATTCTAGATTACTTCTCAATAATTGCAAAACAATATATTTGAGTTCTGGACTTATTTTTTTTAATTTTTTTAACCGACCCTGAAAAAGATTTAATACTTCTTTACAGTGTTACTTACAACTAGTTCAAATATATCGAGCATTGCTTTATTCAAATCTGTACCATTTCTTAAAGGTCGTGGAAGAGGTGAAGGTGGTTTCTTACAGAGAGGTGCCTCCTATGAAGAGACAGCTGGAGGAGGCTTTGTCCGTCCACCAAGTCACAACAGAGCAGATGGCTGGGAAGAAGTGTGAGTAATCCTTGTTATTGACACATTAAAAGTTGTTCTTCTCTGCTCATCACAACTTAAAATGAACATAAGAAAATATGCATGATAGTATTGAAGGTATAAAGAGATATGAATTCAAATTGTGACATCACAGTATAAGGAAACTTATGATTATTTCATGGCACTTAAATATTTTGTCAGCAATCTGCTACAGTTTTGGGAATAGTGATAAACAGGAAATTAAATGTTTCTGTTTGAATATCAGGTATACTGTTGTGTGCAGATAAAAATTGTCACTTTTGAAAGTATCACAAAAGACTCGTATAGTGAAATGCAAACAATTTTCATTGAATATGCAGCTTTACTTAAACCTGGCTGTTTTGGGACTTAAAGCCAGTTGTTCAATCCCTTTGATTTTGTTCAATCTGTTTCCCACAAAAATTGTTGAAGTTCAAAAAACTTCCTAAGCATATTTTTTCAAATAATTTGTCTTCGTTGGGTTTTCAGGAACACATGTTCATAGAGACACTTGTCCTGATACAGCTGAACTTACACAGATAGTGTGACGGAGATACCTATATAGCTTATCTTGCATGTTAATGTGGATAGGTATATATCATGCAGCAAACACACCTTACCACCATAACAACCAAATAGAGCTTTGGATATAGGCCAACATGTTGATAAGGCCGGAGATAAGATGTAGCTTACTGCCGAAATATATCAAAAGAATCATGGGATTATACTGTAACTGATAAGTATCAAGCTAGATCAAGCTAAAGGGTTTTCATTCATTATGAATGTACTAAGGAAATACTAAGGATACAATGTTAAGATGGAATACGCAAGTACACTTGGGGAAAGTACTGTTAATTACTATTAATAACTTAAGTCCCCACAACCTATTTATTATCAATTATATTATTTAAAATTTATATTAATTTGGTAACTGTTCTCTTATAGGGGGAGCAAACGTAATTACCAGAACAGATTTGATGAACCTGGTGTTCCACGCCGGGAGTTCACAAGGTCAGTCAGCAGTACAGATAATTGGCGAGGTAAAGAGGAGGAAGAAGAAGGGGATGGAGATTGGCGTAAAGCTGGCTCATCTAAATGGAGTAAGCAGTTCAGTTGTTCAAGTCAACTTTTAATTTTAAGTTAAATTTCTTGTTTATATTGTTACTTCTGTCAAGTAATTTGCCAATTGCATATTCTAACTTTGTCTAAAATAGTGTTGAAAATAGTAAAAACTTGAGTATTTGGTAAAATCAGGTGCTCGCGGAAATTGGAGAGATCCAAGCAACAGGGAAAGGGGAGGTTTTGACTCTCGTCCTAATGGAGTACAGCGTGGGGGCAGGACGTTCCAGAGAAGCAGAAATAGTGAGTCCTGGGACGAAGAAGGTACGATATTCACTGTTATATTGATCAGCTTTCTTTGTAACTGTCAAGTTCATGTTCCTTCAAAAACAGTTCAGGGCTAACTCTGGTTCCCAATTTGGTTTTGCCTAAATTAATGTGCCAATCTGAAAGTGGTAGCAGGTTTAAATGGAACAGGCATTGACACCCTCCCAACAACATTTTTATTCCCAATTTCTGAAAAGATATTAATAAACATGCTTTTTTATTAGATTCAAAATCTGAAAAAAATTGAGCGAAATTCTATTTTCATGGTACAAGAAAATGACATAAGTGATGTAAGCATGCGTCGCTTTATACATTTTGCTTTATCTAACAAGGTGAAAACTTACCAGAGTGGAGTATGCCTGACTCGGCTGATGTGGAGGAACCTGGGACATTTGATTCTAGTGGAGCATTTGTCTTTAATAAGGTAATCGATCCAGATAGGATTATTTCTTATGTAAGCATTGGTCTAGCTGTTGTTAGTCGACAAGATATAGAGAATCTTTATGGATTGAGAAATATGATTCATAAACGGAGTAATTTTACAAATTCTGAATTGAAATAATAAACCAGTTATGTATAAACTATTGAACCATTTAGGAAAAGATACGAATGGAAAATATCTGTGTGTTTGTGTGTGAAAGGATAAATCAATATGATAGTGATTTAGAAATTGTAACAATTTTAGTGTGGCCTATAAATAAGATATTTAATTACTATCAATAGTACATACATAGACCAGTAAAGTAATTTCCATGTTTGCAGAAAATGTTTTGACAAATTTTATTTTAGGGTAGAGAACTGTACAGTCATAGGAGATATTCTTGTATTTTAAATAAAGAAAATTAATATCTTGTCACAACTGATCAGGAGAACAATTTGCTACCTGTTTTTATGGCTACCTTTTGAAAAATGATTTAACTCACTGGTATTTTTGTTGACTGCATGTTATCAGTACACTTAACTTAGATGTGGAAATATAATTCTGTTTCTTTGTAGTTAAAGGGAATGGTAAGAGGAAGCGGTAAGGGTGATCATGAGGAAAACCATGCCAGAAGGGCTGCTCCAGGCTTAAAACTCAATGAGGCTCTCGCAGGGACAGACTCGCCACAAAGATACAATTCTAAGGAGGACAAAAGTGACTCAAAAAGTGGGTACAATATTCAGAATGAGGATGAAGAGACGGGTACATCTGTTAAGGAGGAAAGAGACACTTTGACACCTGATAATAAAGACAAAAACAAACAAGGCAAATCTAAACAACAGACTTCACAGCAGGAAGTGGAGCAACCAAGTACTAAATCTGAAGTGTCCGAAAATAAGAGGCCATCAAATCTCTCAACAGCGGCCACTTCAGATTCCAAACAACATTCTGCACCAAACAAAAAGACAACTGCTGCAATAGAATCTAAGGATGTGTCAATAAGTGCTCAAAAACAGAAAAGTGCTCCATCTACCACAGAGACTAAAACCAAATCTACAAAAAAATCCAAAAAGGAATCCCAGATGGAGCAAGAAGCTCTGGATAGACTTAAGGAGAAAGCAGAAAACATGGTGTTAGATGCCATCGATGTGGAGGCAGAGGTAGGATTGTGGCTCTGTTAGGCTTATATCTGGTTGTAGGGGGAGGTTGTCAGGTTAGATGCCATCGATGTGGAGGTAGAGGTAGGATGGCTCTGTTAGGCTTATATCCGGTTGTAGGGGGAGGTTGTCAGGTTAGATGCCATTGATGTGGAGGTAGAGGTAGGATTGTGGCTCTGTTAGGCTTATATCTGGTTGTAGGGGGAGGTTGTCATGTTAGATGCCATTGATGTGGAGGTAGAAGTAGGATGGCTCTGTTAGGCTTATATCTGGTTGTAGGGGGAGGTTGTCAGGTTAGATGCCATCGATGTGGAGGTAGAGGTAGGATGGCTCTGTTAGGCTTATATCCGGTTGTAGGGGGAGGTTGTCAGGTTAGATGCCATTGATGTGGAGGTAGAGGTAGGATTGTGGCTCTGTTAGGCTTATATCTGGTTGTAGGGGGAGGTTGTCATGTTAGATGCCATTGATGTGGAGGTAGAAGTAGGATGGCTCTGTTAGGCTTATATCTGGTTGTAGGGGGAGGTTGTCAGGTTAGATGCCATCGATGTGGAGGTAGAGGTAGGATGGCTCTGTTAGGCTTAT